CATGTCCTGGATCTGAAAGTTAATGTAATTATTTGTGTATTTTACTCTAAGTCTTCTCTCAGTTCCAGTGGGGAATGCCCCTGGAATATGTTACAGTAAACCCCTTGCATGGGGATTCACATAAAAGGCCATGTGTGGTCCCATTAAAACAGTTCCAGTTTTACCCTCAACACAGAGTCTCGCCTCGTGCTTGTAGGGAACAGCTTTATCACTGCTTGTTAGGAATATCGCTTCCAGGATTGTTGCAGCACTATTCACACTGGGGGGGGAAAAGAACATATCTGGCGGTGAAACCCCTCTTCCCATCTGGGTGTCTGCCACACATCTCAAACTTGAAAATGCTCTTGTGCTCCCTTTCCTTTCTCCTGTATCCTTTTCTCATCTAACTCTTCCCCGTTTCCAAAAACATCTTATCTTTTTTTACCTCAATTGGTTCTTCCACTGGGTTTGGTGTATTCCACACTCCATTTAACTTACATTTTGATGTTGCCCCCACACCCCTTCCCATGTTCTACATACACCCTTAAGGGTATGAATTTTGATGATTGTCTTTGTGGGCTCCCTGTTAATATTTAGAATGTTGAGTTATTGTGTATTGTGTTCAATATTTGTGTAAAAACTGTTGTGATCTACATATCTCAAGTACAGATTCCAGTGCTGTGCATAATAATTTAAATGATAAACAAAAAGGTCCTTATAATATCTTTTAATTAAACAAATATGTGACTTCAAAGCTGTCACCGTGTGAAAAAGGTTTACAGTCGCAAAGTTCTACTTTTAACTCAAATTCTTTTATTGACTTGTTTTGTATAAAATGTACAAACCTGTAAAAGCATTTTAAGAGACAATTATATTTATTACCAACAAGGAACATGTCAAATACAGTGCTAACTTAGCCATGATACCACTTAGAAGCATTTTCCATTGACGTAGAGACTTAATAAACTGAAAAGAGACAAAATATTTTGCATCCTTTCTTTACTCCACCTCCAATAGCAGCAAACAATAATAATAAAATATCAACCAATCAAAAGTCAGAAAAAACATATAATAGGCAGAATACTATGAACATTTTCCTCTTTCTTTGAAGCAATACAGTCCAACTTGAATTACTCTTGTGTTTGGGAGCAGCAAAGAAAGAGTAAATGGTTCCTGGTTTTCTGCCTATTGTATATTATTTTCTGACTTTTGATTGGTTGATTTTTTATAATTATTGTTTGCTGCTATTGGAGGTGAAGTAAAGAAATAATGCAAAATATTAAGCCTCCTGTCACGTGTTAAAATAGGCAATACAACAATTTACATTATTGCAATGATCACAGATATGTATCAAACAAACATTGCCAAAGGTACTAACAGAGCACATTAAAATCAGTAAATAGATTTTTTTTTTAATGAAGTATATGTAAAAAAAAAATGAGAATAATCACATCCCTACCTGTAGTATATGACAAAATGTGACAGCCATATATTTGCATCTTCTGTTCAGAGAGTGAAGCAGGGAATACCACAGAGACTGTCAGTTTTCAAATTCTGTCTGAGCCAAGGTGCATTGATACCGTTGAAAATCCAGTAGGGATGAGTTTTTCTCACTTTTTTTTTTCATATACTTTCTTTTTTTAAATCTATTTATTTTCAAACGATAATGAAATAATTATTATATTAAAACTAGTTTTGAGGTGACAGTCGTCCTTTAATATTCTTAGACCATTGTAGGTGGTAGATTAGAGTTTATAAAAAAAATGGTGCAAATCCTTGTCTGTAAATAAAATAAATATTCACTTTAAAGGATCACTATAGAGTCAGGAACACAAACATGTATTCCTGCCCTTATAGTGTTAAAACCACCATCTAACCCCTGGATCCCTCATGCCTCCATAAATATAGCAAAATCTTACTGTATTCAAGCCAGAAGCTGTAACTCTGCATGCTGTTTGCCTCAGAAAATCAAGAAGTCTGCTGACATCATCAGAAGTGGTAGCCTGATCAAATCACAGTGCTTCTCCATAGGATTGGCTGAGACTGACAAAGAGGAAGATCAGGGGCAGAGCCAGCATGATTCAAACACAGTCCTGGCCAATCAGCATCTCCTCATAGAGATTTGAATCAATGAATCTCTATGAGGAAAGTTCAGTGTCTGCAGTCTGCAGGCAGAGGGAGGAGACACTGAATGTTTGGATGCATTTTAGGCAGCCATGACCCAAGAAGGATCTCTAACAGCCATCTGAGGAGTGGCCAGTGAAGTTATCACTAGGCTGTAATGTAAACACTGCATTTTCTCTGAAAATACTGTGTTTACAGCAAAAAGCCTGAAGGGAATGATTCTACTCACTAGAACAAATTCAATAAGCTGTAGTTGTTCTGGTGACTATAGTTGTGACAGAACCATCCGTATGAACTAAGATTGCTGTGTTCGTCTGTTTGCTTGTTTCACCAACTCACCCATTCGTATGCCTGGATTTAGGTGAATTTACTTTTTTACCGAACAACACTGTCGAACGGACGGCCACCCAGAAGAGAAGTGTGCTGCTGGTTAACCTATTGATCCCAATTAGAACGTTGCGGTTAACCACAGACACTTCTCAATTAAAACCGAATACAGGGTGGTCGTCGTTCGTATGTCGACCACGAGGCGGCGGCCATTTTAAACCATGCGAAAGACCAGCGGTGTTCGGTACTAAATTCATGGAACTGAAAACGGACACTTTTTCAACCGAACACCGCTGATGCCGTCGACCTCCCTTCTCCAATCGACAAAAGTATGCAAACACCGGCCGTTCGGGAGATGTAAAGGCACGAATGGACTTACCCCAGATAGCCTTCGCATGGAGTCAATCGCATACCGAAGAACTGTAATAGACTTTGACTCCATGGCGATTGAACTATGCGTATGGGATCTGAGCGCTATTCGCCAATAATATGCACTCAGATCCAGGCTATCTGGGGATGTGTTACACGAATGAGAAACGTTCGACAGTTATAAAGTTATGTATTTTTATGTGTTTTGTGACTTGTATTTAAAATGACGATTTGCCTCTGCTCTGGGAGATAATTGAATTACTTCTCAATTATCTCCCGGGCAGAGGGGAGGAAACTTTGATGTATGCTGGGAATATTGTGTGATTGTATGTCTCAAATGTCTCCATGTCCATCTGCTTTTCCAGTCTCCCATTTGGTCCCCTAGGGGAGTGTCCACCAAGTGGGAGACCTGCATAAATACGGGCGGGTAGCCCACAGTAAACTCAGTTCATATTTTACCCTCAATGCGGAGCTTGGTCTCGTTATTGGGGGGATTTTATTACCGGCGACTAGAGACTGCTGTTTGGAATTATTTGCCACTTGGAAGATATTGGCGTTCAGCTGATATTGGCAGTTCGTGAGCTTGTGGCTCGTGAAGGGAAGGAGCCGTACGGATAATGTTCGGGAGGCTGGAGTGTGTGGCGAAACCAACCTCGCCACTGTACACTGGAGAAGCCTGGTTGCTCGCCTGCTGCCTTTGGACTATGGCCCCATGTTAAAAGACATCTTTTTCCCTGCAGAAAAGACTTATTCGTGCTTTCCTGCCGGGTGTTCGGTAGATTTGTTTGAGTGTGTTGTACCCCAGATAGGAATCCCATGGAGCCCATTCGCATGAAACTGACTGTGTAAAGACTTTGGCTCCATGGCGTTTAAACTGTATTCGTGTGGTCTGAGCGCCATTCGCTTAATAATGTGCGCTCAGACCTGAGCTATCTGGGGATATGTAGAACGTATATGTTTTATGTACTGAATGTAACTGTAGGTAATTTTATGTCTTTTACTGTTTGTTTTCTGCCATGTGGTTAATGGAGTTTTGCCTCTGTCTTTGGAGATAATTGAATTACTTCTCAATTATCTCCAGAGCAGAGAGGAAGGATTGTGATGCATTGTGGGATGGTTGAAATGTGTAAGTCTGTGATTGGTCCTTTTACCCTTTGTGTCCCAGTCTCCCATTTGGTCCCCTAGGGGAGTGTCCACCAGGTGGGAGACTGGCATAAAAGCCGGGCAGTTAGCCCCAGTAAATCAGTTCCTGCTTAACCCTCAAAGTGAAGTGTCGTCTCATTATTGGGGGAGGATTTTCTGTATGCTATTAGAGACTGATTGCCAGGAGTGTAAGCCGCTTGGGGGCTTTTCCTGTTCGTGTGCAGCTATTCGTGTGTCTCCAGTTCGGGAGTTTCGAGTATTCCCTTGGTTGCAGTTCAGGAGATTGGTGCTTGCAGTAGCTGTCGGTGCAGCTGAAAAAGGGGAATATCGCCTAAACGGTTTTTAACCTCTTTTGGGCAAAACGGTCCGTTACAGAGTGTTCCCTGGCTGGCGGTTCGCATGGTTGTATTGCATACGCTTACAGACAACATTATTGCGAACGGGGAGCATTCACTAAATGGCGGTTTGTACATTCCATGCTGAAGGTACCGTAACAACTGGTGGCAAGCGACGGGATGACCCTCAGTGCCCAGAGAGACCACTACAACCAGGATTAAATGGAATTACAATACCAAAGTCTGAAAAGAGCTACCCTAAAGGATTTATTAGAACAAAGAGGTGGACAAGCCAGTAACCTCAGGAAGAGGGAAATTATTGCGCTATTGTTGGAGATGGATGGAGTACCAGAGGCAGAGGGAACCAATGGACCCAGTACAGCTGACAGAACCCCCGAGGAGGCAAGCTTTGACCGGGCGGTAAGAATCAGGCTGGCCCATTATGGTCCCAACCCATCTGCAGAGATCATCACCCAGGTCATGGCCGCTGTGGAGGCCAACCTGCTACGCCAAAGCGGTGCTGCAGCAGCCCCAGTCACAGCAAACCCGGGGGAAAGAAAGAAAGTGCCGTTTACTGCATTTAAACCTTTTGTGGAGGCAGAAGGAGAGATTGATGGGTACCTTGCTGATTTTGAGCGGCAATGTGCCCTACACAAGGTACCCCTGGAAGACTGGGTCACTATATTGTCCGGCAAGTTATCCGGCCGGGCCAGCAATGCTTTTCGGGCCATTCCTGATGAGGAGATCGGGGATTATGGGGCCATCAGGGAAGCTTTACTCTCCAGGTACGCCGTCACACCGGAGGCATACAGGAGACGATTCAGAGACACAGTAAAATTGGCTGGGGACTCTTATGTTGAATGGGCATGCAAAGTACACCACACAGCTGCCCACTGGATGGCGGGGTGCCAGGCTGTGTCCGAGGAAGAGGTGCTGCAGATGTTCCTGTTGGAGCATTGTTTTGACAAATTGTCCCCAGGAGTCAGAGAGTGGGTAAGGGACCGTAAACCCTCCACTCTGCATGAAGCAGCTCGCCTGGCGGATGAGTATATGGATGCCCGCAAACTGGACAGTTCTATTAGTAAGACTCCTGCCAGAGTGGAGTACCGGCCAGCAGCACCACCAGCAGCTAGCGTATACCAGCCTCCGATGAACCGGCCGTCAGCACCCCCTCCGTCTGCCCAGTATCAACAGCCACCCTGGTTCAACTCATGGGATTATTCGCAACCCATTAGGTGCTTCTTATGCAAGCAGCTAGGGCACAAGCGACCGGAGTGCCCGATGAACAGTGCCAAGCAGACCAGTCTTGGAGGAGACCAGCTGGCGGCAATCCACGACCACCTCTCCTGGCTGCTCACTGTGTAGAGGAAGAGGAATGCTGGGGCATCCTGCATGAGGCAGACCCTGTCCAAGCTGCCCACCGGGATAACAGACAGCACCACCGGCAATGTGTTAAGGTCAACGGGAAGGAGATCAGTGTTCTACGGGATCCCGGTGCAACCATGACATTGCTTCAGAAGCACCTGGTGTCCGAGGCCCAACATACTGGAGACACGGTCGCAGTGCGAGTAGCCATGGGTCCCGCTGAAATGGACGCTGTCACGACCCGTGCCCAGACCCGTGCCGCCGAGACCGGCCCACCTGCTGCTGAGACCCAGGTAAGACTCTCTACCCCGACTTGTACCTTAGACCAGGCCCCTTTAGGCTGGGATACCCCTGAGATGTACGGGAAGGAAACTAGCGAAGACCCGACTTTAGCGAAGTACCGAGCCAGGGCCGATTCTGGGGGAGAAGGGGTAGATGGGGAGCATTACGAGTGGGTGGGGGATAGGCTGTACAGGATCCCTAAACTGTCCCAGAAACCGAGTACTCCTCCGCAGAATCGACAGCTAGTGGTGCCTGATTCTGCGGATTGGGCATGATGTGCCATTAGCGGGCCATCTAGGCTCCCTATCATTGGAGAACCCTTTTCCCGCATAGCAGTTGACATTGTGGGTCCACTGGCCAGGGCTAGTCCATCCGGTAAGAAATATATTCTCACCGTGGTGGACTATGCCACACGTTATCCAGAGGCAGTAGCGCTGTCTAATATAGAGGCAGAGACGGTTGCTGATGCCCTGGTTAAAATTTTCACTAGGGTCGGGTACCCTCAGGAGATCCTCTCCGACCAGGGAACTCAGTTCACCGCTGTGCTTACCCAGCAGCTGTGGAAGGTGTGCGGCATTAAACCGCTGCTTAGCTCACCTTATCATCCACAGACTAACGGTCTCTGCGAGCGATTTAATGGTACCCTCAAACAGATGTTGAGGACCTTTACTGACACTTGCAGAGACTGGGAGCGATTCCTGCCTCATCTGCTATTTGCATACAGAGAGGTGCCCCAGGAATCTACTGGGTTCTCCCCCATTGAGTTATTCTATGGGAGAAGGGTCCGCGGACCCCTGGATCTCATTAGAGGGCACTGGGAGGGGGAGACAGAGCAAGAAGGGACCCCCATAGTACCATATGTCCTGGAACTCCGGGACCGCATGGAGAAACTATCCCTGATGGTAAGGGAGAATCTCCAGGTGGCCCAGGGGAGACAGAAGAGGTGGTACGATTGGGGTGCCCGACAGCGGGTCTTCCAGGTTGGGCAGGAGGTTCTGGTGCTCAAGCCTGTGAAGATGAACAAGATGCAAGCATCTTGGCAGGGCCCGTATAAAGTGTTAGCCCAGGTATGTGATACTACCTATGTTATAGCCAGCTATGCAGATGAAAGGATTCAGCGATCCTTTCATGTGAACATGCGGAAGGAGATACAGGAGATGACCAGGCTGGGTGTCATCGAGCACTCAGACAGCCCTTGGGCCTCCCCTGTAGTCCTGGTGCCTAAGAAGGATGGGACCACCCGGTTCAGTGTGGACTAGAGGCGACTCAACGAGTGGACCACCACTGACGCCTACCCGATGCCCCGGGTAGACGAACTATTAGACCGCATTGCCAGGGGGCACTACCTGACTACCATCGACCTGTGTAAAGGCTATTGGCAAATTCCACTGGCCGAGGATGCTATCCCTAAGTCGGCATTCGTCACCCCATTTGGCCTGTACCAGTTTAAGGTCATGCCATTTGGGATGAAGAATGCTCCGGCTACCTTCCAGCGTATGGTGGATAGGCTCCTCAATGGCTTCCAGGAATTTGCATGTGCATACCTGGATGACACTGCGGTCTACAGTGAGTCCTGGGAAGAACACTTAGTACACGTGGGGGTGGTTCTGGACAAGATTCGGGCCGCGGGCCTGACTTTGAAACCAGACAAGTGCCATCTAGGCATGGCAGAAGTGCAGTACTTGGGTCACAGGGTAGGATGTGGGAGCCAGAGACCAGAGCCAGCCAAGGTAGAAGCTGTAGCTAACTGGCCCACACCTATCACCAAGACCCAAGTACTGGCCTTCCTGGGGATGGCAGGGTATTACCAACGTTTTGTCCCCGACTACAGTACTGTCGCCAAGCCCTTGACTGACCTGACTAAGAAAAATTTACCTAAGCAGGTCCTGTGGTCTCCAGCTTGTGAAGCTGCGTTTCAGGCCCTGAAGCAAGCTCTTGTAAATGCCCCTGTCCTGGCTGCCCCAGTCCCTAACAAACGTTTTCTTGTTCATACAGATGCTTCCATGTATGGACTGGGGGCTGTGCTGAGCCAGGTCGGGGAGGATGGAGAAGAGCACCCTGTCGCATATCTCAGCAGAAAGCTACTACCCCGGGAAGTGAGTTATGCGGCAGTGGAGAAAGAGTGTTTAGCCCTGGTCTGGGCACTGAAGAAGTTGAGCCCTTATTTATACGGACAAGAATTTTCCCTCACCACGGACCACAATCCCCTTGTCTGGCTTAACCGGGTCTCAGGAGACAATGGCAGACTGCTGAGGTGGAGTTTGGCACTGCAGCCTTACAACTTCACCATCAGCTACTGACCCGGTAAGCAGAATGGGAATGCGGATGGGTTGTCCCGGCAAACAGACATCACTACTTCTTCCTAGTCCGGTCATCCCCAAGTTGACCCGCCAAAGGGTCAAGCCGGGTCTGCCGGAGTGTTCCACAAGGGGGAGCCATGTGACAGACCCATCCGTATGAACTAAGATTGCTGTGTTCGTCTGTTTGCTTGTTTCACGAACTCACCCATTCGTATGCCTGGATTTAGGTGAATTTACTTTTTTACCGAACAACACTGTCGAACGGACGGCCACCCAGAAGAGAAGTGTGCTGCTGGTTAACCTATTGATCCCAATTAGAACGTTGCGGTTAACCACAGACACTTCTCAATTAAAACCGAATACAGGATGGTCGTCGTTCGTATGTCGACCACGAGGCGGCGGCCATTTGAAACCATGCGAAAGACCAGCGGTGTTCGGTACTAAATTCATTGAACTGAAAACGGACACTTTTTCAACCGAACACCGCTGATGCCGTCGACCTCCCTTCTCCAATCGACAAAAGTATGCGAACACCGGCCGTTCGGGAGATGTAAAGGCACGAATGGACTTACCCCAGATAGCCTTCGCATGGAGTCAATCGCATACCGAAGAACTGTAATAGACTTTGACTCCATGGCAATTGAACTATGCGTATGGGATCTGAGCGCTATTCGCCAATAATATGCACTCAGATCCAGGCTATCTGGGGATGTGTTACACGAATGAGAAACGTTTGGCAGTTATAAAGTTATGTATTTTTATGTGTTTTGTGACTTGTATTTAAAATGGCGATTTGCCTCTGCTCTGGGAGATAATTGAATTACTTCTCAATTATCTCCCGGGCAGAGGGGAGGAAACTGTGATGTATGCTGGGAATATTGTGTGATTGTATGTCTGAAATGTCCCCATGTCCATCTGCTATTCCAGTCTCCCATTTGGTCCCCTAGGAGAGTATCCACCAAGTGGGAGACCTGCATAAATACGGGCGGGTAGCCCACAGTAAACTCAGTTTGTGTTTTACCCTCAATGCGGAGCTTGGTCTCGTTATTGGGGGGATTTTATTACCGGCGACTAGAGACTGCTGTTTGGAATTATTTGCCGCTTGGAAGATATTGGCGTTCGGCTGATATTGGCAGTTCGTGAGCTTGTGGCTCGTGAAGGGAAGGAGCCGTACGGATACCGTTCGGGAGGTTGGAGTGTTCCCTGGCTGGCGTTTCGCATGGTTGTATTGCATACGCTTACAGACAACATTATTGCGAACGGGGAGCATTCACTAAACGGCGGTTTGTACATTCCATGCTGAAGGTACCGTAACAATAGTGTCCCTTTAACTTCCTCTCTGGAACTGCCTGTAAAATGTGGAGGCCTTAGCTTGAGCAGTAGTGATATTATAAGAGCATTAACACATCAAGTAATGCATGTACATACATTTTTAAGCATTCATTTGAGTGATGACAGCAAATGCTTTCACATTTGATGAGCAATTCGAAGATGAAGCCGGACTGGTACCTCCACTTCAGTGTAAAATAATTGAAGATAAGAAGGAACCAGGGCACTCCTAGAGCAATAACCAATTCACTGACATGAAGTGGTTATGATGCCAGAAGTATTTCTTTAAAAGGAATTTTGAGTTAGAGGTCACCTGCTTTTAAGATACTATAGACTGTAACTCACATGATTGTCAGCCAAGCTAGGTTAAGAACACTGTCTGTCATGATGCCTTGCAATATATTTTTTTTATTACAAACAGTGCTTATGTCTCAGTAGAGACTAATTTTGCTTTATTCTGAGAAAAATACAAGCGGGATGACATAACAATGCAATCCAGGCAGCAGTGACAGCTCTAGACTTGGCGAGGCCTTAGGCGAAACTCATACATGAGGCCCCCTCTAACACCATTATTGGAAAAAAATAGCAGTTGACTTGTGTGTGTATAAGAAGCTGTAGATATATTGAAGGGTGGGCTTGCAGTACTGGATATAGAGAACTAGTCTTTGTATACATCTTTGCATTGTCTACCTGTGTGTGCCTGAGAGTGTGTGTCTGGCAATGAGTATCTTTGAATATGTAGGTATTTTTCTCTGAGCATGTGTATGTTTACGTACTGCCTGTGGCCTTTGGCATTAAGTTCATGGCGAAGCTATGTTTTATGACAGTGTGTAGAATGATTGCCTTCAGGGGGTGACAGGGTGAGTAAAGGAGTAACTGTGGCAGGGTGACTGTAAAAAGAGCAGGAGGGTGCCAGAGTGCGGAGAGTGGTGCCCGTGTGTTTAGAGGGAGAGAGAGTGTGTATGGAGGAGGGTGACAGTGTGTGCGGAGAGAGGTGACAGAGTGTGTGGGGGTGACATAGTGTGAGGGGGTGACATAGTGTAGGGAGATGGCATAGTGTGAGGGGGTGGCATAGTGTGGGGGGTGACAGTGTGAGAGGGTTACATTAGTGTAAGGGGGGGTGACAGAGTAAGAGGGGGGTGACAGAGTAAAAGGGAAGAGACAGAGGAGGGAGACCTAGTGTGAGGGAGGGTGACATAGTGTAGGGGGGGTGACAGAGTGAGAGGAGGTGACAGTATTATGGGGTGACAGTGTGAGGTGGGGTGATGGTGTGTGGGAAGTGACAGGGTAAGGTGACAGAGTAAGGTGGGTGATAGTGGGGTCACAGGGTGGGTGACAGAGTAAGAGGTGGGGTGACAGGGTGAGGGGGTGACAGGTGAGGTGGCAGGGTGAGAGGGGGTGACAGGTGGGGTGACAGGTGGGGTGGCAGGGTGAGTGACAGGGTCAAATGTGGGGTGAGAGGGGAGGCAGGGTGAGGGGGGTGACAGGTGGGGTGGCAGGGTGTGTTACAAACTGCCATTTGTAACTGTTATTTTATTTGACAAATTGCCCTGCTTCCCTGTGCTATGGAGAAGCCTAATTGCCAGCCTTCTGCCCCATTGATACCGGAGAAACTGACGGAAGCAAAGCACAGAGAGATGGACACAGGTTTCTTCAGGAAGGAGGAGATTCTTTATTGGATCACCGATCGGGACTCAGAGGGACTAATGTCACCAAAAATACAGCAAGTTCTGAGCCCCGAACAATAGTGCAGGCTCCCTATATAGGCACATAACTCCTCCCATATTAAGCTCCACCCGCACATTCTCTTGACCAATCATTATAAATAAGAATTAACTTCCTGCTTGACCGCATGGCTTGTCCAGCACAATGGAGGAGGGGAATACTACATCCTGTATTCTTGCACATGCTCCGTACACTACTGATCGATACGTCAGCATATGCACGTACACATGCCACGTGGTAATCTCGGCCTACTAAATTTATTTTTACCGAGATTCCACCAAATTCCCCCCTTTGATGCCTCTTGATATTTTACAATTACTTGAGGCATCACTTAACCTTGGTTTGCATACACCACAAGTTACCTTTGAACCAGACCAGACTTATCCTACGATGTGAATCTTCAACACTCGTCTTCCTGCATTGGTTCTCCCTGATCTAGAGCCTTATATTTATAAATTACCATTATCTGTGCAGCAGCCTTCCTCTCTGCTATATTTTCTATCAGGCTTTGCACAGACCTAACTACTAAGGGTATAAGACACGGCAGGAGTAGACACAACATTAAAATCAGTAGGACTCCACCTACCACTGCCTTAAGCCCTCCAAACCACTCATACCAGCTACCAAACTAACTACTTGGATTGTACCCTTTCCATACCTGAGTAGGCACATGCGCTAGTTTAACCATATGGCTAGTAAGCTCAGCTATTGCTTGCCCTTCGTCATCTATTTGAAGACAGCAATTGCTCAGGTTAAACTTCCCACATACACCTCCCTCTACTGCAAAAAGATAATCCAAGGCTAATCTATTTTGGTAGACTGCTGTCCTCATCCTGGTATTATGCTTCGCTAGAAGATTGAGCGCTTGTGATGTCTCGTTAGTAATGATCTCAACCACCGCCTGTAACCTTATAATGCGGTTGAGCATATAAATAGGGGTTCTATAACCAAAGGTACCATCCTCTGCCCACGTGGCTGGCCCATAATAATCTATAATACGCTGGGGAGGCCATTCATTATCTTCCCAGGCACCTATCTCTATGGGTCCCCTTTTCTTCCTATGATTCACATCATACACTTTAACACCTAAAGTCTCACCTGTTTCAATAGGCAACAAGAAGAAAGATGGCTTTGGCATACCTAATACACATGCCCCTTCCCAATCTTGTGGTAACTCCGAATAGGCCTTCTTACCACAGATCCAGTACAAATTCGCTGGGGCTCTCCAGTTAGATGTGATGGATAGATCAAACCATACGTCCTTTAAATTGGCATATCTTGCAAACGGGTTAGATGGTTCTGAGACATTTGAAGCTGACCACCAAGTAGTATTTTAGTATTAACATTATAGGCTTTTTGTCCCAAGCACGTTAGCTCACCTACAGACGTGTTATACATTGTCCCTTTCCTGGCTATACAAACATGACCTATAATGGAGGTTTTTAACCACCATTCCAATTTACTTCTAGTACTTACTTGATGATCAGACTGGAAAGGTATCTGTTGTTCATATGTCTCAGAGCCAGGGTACCATATTTCCTTTGCCTCCCATGGCCACTGGTCTCCCATATTAGTACCTCCACACACATAGCAATTAGTTACATTAAGACTACCTGCAATACCCTCAGCCAAATCAATAAATAGGTTGTTAACATTATGGGGAATTTTATCCTCAATACTCATCCCCTCATAGAAGGAATGAGAAACCTGATGAGTTTGAGTTGCCACTGTCTCAGTTTCAAGACCTACATATATTATTGTTCCTGAATCTACTCCTGTGCCATATATTTGAACCCAAACAGACCTCCAAACCTGTCAATAAAGTACTGCAGATTGGAAATGGTCATGTGAACGGGGTTGCACACATAGTTTTACAGTATGGTGTGGTAGGCAACCTTTGGATAATCATATCTTGATCCACTGTTTTTCCCAGGTTGCCCAACCTACACATGACCAATAGGGGCAGAAGTTAGTCTCTATTTGGGCAATCAGGATCAGTAGATCTTTTACTGGGACATAAGTATTTATCATTAAACCCATAAGTTCGTTCCCATTTAAGATTACCACATACATTCCAAAGTCTTCCACTACCCGAAATCGCCTTACATGCATCAAATAGTAGAATACCCGTGGAATGTATGGTGCTTATCACAGTCCTATTTATTAATGTCCCCTGGGAGTTACTATTCCGAATTACCAACCAAATTGTACGGGGTTGGAAATGGGGATCAAAACATTTAGACTCTCCTGATATTGGCTTGCACACACTATAATCAATATCCAAATATCTACATTTAGATACAGATCCCTTACATTCATACTGTGAGTGCCAGATGAAAGTTTGGGATATTTGGTTACCTGTTTTAGTAGTCTTAATGCAACTATCGCAATTCGGTATGTCTGTACTCCTACCTTCCTGAAAAAATCATAAAAATACTAAGACACAATAAAACACATTATTCCTGAAATCCTCATTTTTCTTCGACCGTGCGATGGCCTCTCAGCTTCCCGATTGTGAGGGCTGCAAGGATGTTGTTCTTCTGATCCTCACTTTCCTTCACAGAGATCCCTTCAAGATACTCTGGCTATGACACGTAGGCAGGTGGTCAGGCTTTATTATGGCCGCCAAAACACCTACTTGATGATCTTTGTAGACTTTTAACTAGAATGTCTCGATATCCCCTCGTCACTCCGACTGAGTTGCACGCTTCAACCGGGTCCTGCAAGGATTCTCAGGATCTGGAGTAGTTTGCCAAGAGTCTGCTGCTGGTTTAACCTTAGAATGATGAATCCAAGGAGTCACTTCCGCCACCTTTACAGCTGTTGGGGTAGATAAAAGAACAACATACAAAGGCTAACAGGATACACCCCGAGCTTTAACTCAATATGTATTGGTGGGATATTACGAGCAAGTCCTGGAGGATTATTTTCTTCCCATACTCCTGGAATGTCAAGTAAGGATTCATCACTCTTAGGGTTAACACTTGTCACTATGGAATAGAAGCGTCATTCTTCTTCCCTTGGCACCGATATCACCATTATGCCTGGTAATCCCTTAAACTTCAGAGATGTTAATCCATTAGGTAAAAGGTTATCTGAGTTTAAAGCTTCGATAATAGATCTCGTCCTAAAAGTTGAATCGGACACTCTGGCATATATAGGAACTAATGCTTCACCACATGGCCTCCCAGAATACAAGTGCGACTCTTAAGAACCGGTCTAGCTGCACTTCTCCCAGTAGCTCCTATCACAGTTATAGTCTTCCCCGAAGGCGGAGCCACCATCTTAGTCACCACAGAATGTTCAGCACCTGTGTCGATCATGAAAGAACTTCTCTTTCCCCCTATTGCTACATCGACCATAGGCTACGCTCGACCAAGTGGGATGGAGCCCAGTCGGTATCAATAGTCTTCCATGATAGTGTCAGCCAGACCCACAAAATCTCTATCCTCTCTTTCTCTAGGTCTCTGCGTGGGTGGATAGTATCTGTCTCCTTGAACACTTCCTCTACTATTCCCACCATTCCCTCTAAAACTTCCTCTTACTCTATAACTACCACTATAACCTCCTCGTACCCTTCTCTCTCCTTGTCTATCACCTTCATACTGCTCTCTCTGTGGACACTCACTCTTCCAATGTCCCTCCTTTCTACAATACGCACATTAATTCCTACTTAAAGTCCCTTGCTCAGCCTATTCTCGTCTCCTCTATTCACTTCCCTGTCTTTCTACACTTAAGATAGCTACCGCTAGCATATCTGCCTTTTTCCTCATTTTACGCTCTTCCTCCATCTCCCTATTCATATATACTGTATTTGCAATCTCCATTAGCTGTATTATGGACATCCCTACAAATCCCTCTAATTTCTGTAATTTCCTTTTACTATCACCTTGGGTCTGGCTGACAAATGCTGAGTCTATCATTCGGAAGTTTTCAGGGGCCTCTGGATTAAAGGGAGTATACAACCTATTTGACTCAAGCAGTGTCTAATATGGGACTTCGGCAAGGCTGCCCAATAATAGGTTCCAGTCTAGGAGTAGTAAGATAATTTTATTAGTCAGCATTTGGTGGATGAAAAAACGTTTTTTTTTTTTGTTTTTTTTTTAAAGTGTTAAACCAAAAACCTACCAGTAGGTGTCACCAGAGGGTAATTGTATCAAAATAATCTTTATGGGTCTAATAAGAAAACTCAACTTTTAATATATTTATACATAAAATAAAACCTTATAGCAATAAATATATTAAAATAGGGTAAGCAATCCTACATCTATCTGTTATAAACAATGTATTATCAATGTAACTCCCGAAGATGGCCAGTAGGTGGCTTAGAGTGCCTCCCTAAAGTCAAATGAAACAAATAGACTTTAATTAATTATGTCCTATTTTATTATTACTTATTTTAATCAATGTCCACCCTGCTAGCTAGGCTTGATTAAATCTTTAGTTCTAAGGTAAATTAAACATTTCAGTTTGTAGTTTAGTAAAAGGGGACATTTTGGACAAAGCTGGGAGGGGCCCATCCAGTAACTAAAAAAAAACCAATATACCATTTGATACCATTGATCATTGATTAGGGGGAGGGGTAGTACAGAAATACAAGAGTTTGAAACACAGGAACAGATAGGTATGTGGGTAGGCGGGGACAGTAGAGCAGGGGGAGTGCAAATACTGACTATCCAGTGTTGGGAGGAAGAATAGGGGCGTGGCTACTCTGGCTCTGGAGGATGTTTGGGGGGTTGGTAATCAGATGCCAGGGGGGAGGGGATGTCCAAAGCAGTTGTAATTAAGTCCTTAGTTCTGACCACCATATGGCTACATTGTTTCCCATATGACACAGTTTAATTCACCAAGGCAGTTTTTCAACAAATCAGTTTCCAACAGTCAATTTATAGAAACTGATCATAGAATTCCAGCCTACTAGTTACAGCCACATGTACACCCTGCACTAAATTTAAGTGAAGACTGCTACATGGAGGCCATGCAGCCACCAGGACAAGCTACTCCCTACTTATTTTTTTATTTATTTTTTTTAAACATACAAGACAAAGCCTTGTGAATCAGAAGATTATTTCAACAGAACGTCTGATTCAAAAAGCTGTACAAATATACACACAGTTTCAACAGTCACACCAATCTCCTTATCACCAGCAACACATTGCGCAGTCACTAGGCCCAAACACACACACAGGATCCTCACATGCTC